CAATACACTTTTCGTGATCCTGTGAGCTTGAGGTGAGCTTGTCTCTTAGCTGAAGCACCGAATGTAATAGCAGCGACAAAAAGCCTGAAAGCCATAACTCACAGGAGGAAGGATTCCATGGATTTGCGGTTGAATGATTGTTTTCCCGGCCAATCATCCTGGGATAGAGGGAGAGAGCAGGGCAGATCATGTACGCTCGGTCAGCAAGCCTAGAAGCAGAGGGGTGAATAGGTGTTGGGCCTGGCTCTAACCCTCAAGACCTGTTCTACTTCCTTTAGGTGGGTCCCACATCCTAAAAGTTCTATAGTTTCCCAAAACGGGGCAGCCAGATGGGGGCCAATGGGGACCTTTCCCATCATAACACTGAAGATTAAACTTAGGGTTTGTGTTTGATGGGCAGGTGTGTGTGTGAGTGAGTGATATGCAGGTGTATGTGTGTGTGTGGTGGTCAGAAGAGGGAAGTTTGGGATCCCCCTGGAACTGGTGGTTGTAAGATGCCTAACATGGGGCCTGGGAATTCAATTCTGGTCCTCTACAGGTACAGACTCTTAACTGGTCATTTCTGCAGCTCCTGAAAGATTAAAACCACCATAGCTGAGTGTGGTGGTGCACACTGTTAGTCAGTACTTATGAGGCCAAGGCAGACGTATCTCTAAGTTTAAAGCCTGGATGATCTGCAGAGTGAGTAGCTGGCCAGGCAAGGAGACATGACACAGTGAGACTTTGAATAAACAAATGAACAAGAATGAAAATAATAAGATAAAGTAAAAATATAATAAATGTTTTTATCTCTGTATGTTTGAGTGTGCACACATGTGTGAGCACCTGGAACTGGAGTTCTAAGCAGTTGTCAACCACCTGGTGTTGGTGCTGGGACCTGAACGTTCGCCCTCTTGTGGAAGAGCAGCCCAAACTCTCAACCTTTGAGCGATCTCTTCAGCCTCTGAAAGGTCATAATTAATAGAAATAATGCTAATCATTGGGTTGAGATTCAAGTCCAGATCCCAAAGTCTTAACTCTTTTACCATAACTGATCTCTGAAACCACTTCCTCGTGAGTAATGCCCTGCCTTGTGTCACCTGTCTCTGCTCCCGAAACTGGCTATTGTCTCCTTCTGGAATGAGGAACTTCCCTGAGTTCATCGAACACACTGGACGTAGCCCTTGCGGTGGACACTTCTGAGAGGAATGCTAATCACACTCATTTACGTGGATTCCGCTCAGCATTGGTGTCACCAAGCAACACTGTCATGAGTTACACTGTGGTTGGCCCTCTCTTCTGGCAACGGGAGCCCCGCTTCAGCCTCAAGGCTGCCTGACACCGAGGCTTGCGTGTTTGCTAGGACAGCAGCCAGCCTCTGGCTAGGGGAGGCCACGAGGAGTTGACGGTCTCTGGCTAGGGGAGGCCACGAGGAGTTGATGGCCTCTGGGTAGGGGAGACCACGAGAAGTTGACGTCCAGGGCGCAGATGTCCTGAGCTCTTCAGGCCCCAGGGGTCAGAACTCTGGAACTGCGGGGCCTCTGTACCTGAGTAAGGACCTGTGGGAGGTGGAAGCCTGCCTCCAGCCCTGATGTGGTGTGGAGGGGCGACGGTGCCGATAGGGACCTCCTCACAGACAGGGCGTTAAAACAACAGCCAGATACAGAAGTCTAACTGGTTTCAGTTTGAAGTAGAAAATGTTCCCTTTGTGACACGGAATGTAATAAACCATCCTCTCATGTGTGCCCGGGTTGACTGATCTATGACATGGGAAACCATTGAAAGAATGTTCTCTAGCTTGTGGTGTGGTGCCCTGATCCGAGCTGAAAGGAAGTATTTTTTAGTGGCTCCACCCAGATTAATATTGGAGTCTTTCTTGCCATTGCAAACTGAAAAATGAGAACACTCTGAGGTATGAGCACAGCTATGGACCGTGAGCGTGGCAAGTGGATGCATAATCACAAATCTTACCCAAGCATAAACAGGTTCTAAAAGAAAATAAAACAAAAAGGAGATGAACTTTCTTTGGGGAAAGAATTGATTAAATGCATAGTTCTAGAACTGCATAAATGTGAGTAGGGAGATTAATGCAGCTAATATACTAAGTGGCCAATTTAATTCTTAAACAAAAATAAAGGCTGGTGTGTACTCCATGGTAGAGTTATCATGTGTGAAACCCTGGGCTCCATGCCCTAAACCACAAAACCAAACACATACAGAAAGAAAGGAAGGAAGGAAGTATGCCACCCAGATTACTAAAGGAGTTTATCTTGCCATTACACACCAAACAGGACAATCAGAGGCACAGCTGTGGAGGAAGCAGACCCTTCTTGATGGTAACTGTTATAAAATAATCACACAGATCATTTAATTTGCTATGTAGAACTAAAATGTATTGCAAATTTTGAAACTCTGACATTTAAACACATTTATACTATTTGGCAACGATGTATGTCAGCTGTTATTGGCCTTTCTTTGGACCACCAGCGCCCAAATAATGACATGGAGACTTGTTATTAATTATTAAAGCTTGACCTTAGCTTAGGCTTGTTCCAAACGAGCTCTTATACCTTAAATTAACCCATTTATTTTCTGCATTCTGTTGCTTGGCTCTTTACCTTCACGCAGTACTGTATGTCCAGCTCACTGGCTAGCCCCACCTCTCTTGCTCCCAGAGTTCATCTCTCTCCCTGGAATTCCCACCTAGCTTCTTCTGCCTAGTTATTGGCTGCTCAGCTCTTTATTACACCAATCAGAAGGTGCCTTGGCAGAGACACATCTTCACAGTGTACAAAAAGATTATTCCATGCTAGTCATTCGTATTTGTAGGTAAATTGTGGATCAGTGGTAGGGTGCTTGCCTAGAATGTGCAAGTCTTGGGTTCTATCTCTAGCATTGGGCCATGGGGAGGAAGAGAGGATGATGTTTGGAAAATGTTTTATGTTATAAAAGCGTTTTCTATTTTGTATTATTTGAAGATTCTAATAGAGGCAGGTATTTAATATATATTGATTCATTAATATTAGAAAATAAGCCTACTTTTCTTTCTGGAGAGCCTTTTAGAAAAAGTACATTGAATATGTTCCTTTCCCAACTAGTATTAGGAAATCCACTTAAGAGTCTCATTGCGAGGGGCTGGAGAGATGGCTCAGTGGTTAAGAGCACTGCCTGCTCTTCCAAAGGTCCTGAGTTCAATTCCCAGCAACCACATGGTGGCTCACAACCATCTGTAATGAGGTCTGGTGCCCTCTTCTGGCCTGCAGACATACACACAGACAGAATATTGTATACATAATAAATAAATAAATATTTAAAAAAAAAGAGTCTCATTGCGAGAGAAGGATTAGTATTTTAAACAAGCGCCCGGTGACCCTGACGTCCCTCCCTAATCTGGTTTGTATACTCACATCACCATGCCTATGCAAGTTTTCCAGTTAGCCTGTAAAATAAATAAATAAATAAATAAAAAAACAACGCTCAGAAAGTTCTTTGGATGGTTCAGCAGGAGTTGGAGTCCCTCAAATGTCACAGCAGCCTCTAAGCTCACGTCCTTGCAGGCTGTGTTCCTTAGCAGTTTAAGGAGAAGAAGAGCTGTTTCCAGGGAAAAGGGAGTGTCTGTTTTGTTTAGATGTGTTGTATTTTCAGATGGAGTCTCTGACACAGATTGCAGTGACAGTGGAATATGGAAGTCCAGTACTCTGAGGAATATCACACTTCTAGATGGCCTTCACCGCTGATTGACTGGATCTGAACACAAATGATGGTTTTTTTTTTTTTTATTTTTTGAGACAGGGTTTCTCCGTAGCTTTTGGTTCCTGTCCTGGAACTAGCTCTTTTAGACCAGGCTGGCCTCGAACTCACAGAGATCCGCCTGCCTCTGCCTCCCGAGTGCTGGGATTAAAGGCGTGCGCCACCACCGCCCGGCACAAATGATGGTTTTTAAGTTGTGTAGTGACAACTGCTGGCAACCCCATCATTTGGGAGTCTGAGACAGGAGGAACTTGCGGTGGAGGGTACCCTAAGTTGCATAGTGAGGCTCTGTTAATAAGGAAGAGAGAGTGAGAGAACAAAAATCCAGAATAGAACAAAATAGTCAACCAAATTGTGTCAAAGGACAACATTGTTTCTTCAACTTCAAAACAGTTTTCTAAGGTTCATTCCCAGCCTGTGACCATCCTAGGAAAGCCCTGGAGCTTCCCCTGCCCCCTTTCTGTTACTTATTAACCTTGTGGCTAAGGCAGCGTCTCTTCCTTTAGATTGTTCCTATTTCCCTATCTATGTGTGGACACATACATATGTCATGGTGCCCATGTGGGTGTCAGAGGACAGCTGTGGGAATCCCTTCTCTCTCCACCGTGTGGGGCTTGGGTTGGCAGCAAGCACCTTTACCGCTAAGCTTTCTCACTAGCCCCACTTTCCCATAATTTTATATCCTGAATCTGCCGTTTCTGCTGTCCAGGTTAAGGCAAGCATTTGATGCCAGCCTTCTGAGCTTCTTCAAAAAGGCTATCCATTAAGTATTTAGAATTTGTTTATTGACTATCAGGAAGGTGTTGGTTATTGGAGCCTATTTCACAATCTCTTTCTCCCTTTTTGGGAATGGAATCCAGGCCCTTGCTCTCTCCAGGAGAATGCTCTACCACCGAACCACAGCTACCTTATTCTTCTTTTATATTTTCAAGGCTATTTACTTTAATTATCTTTTATCTTGTTTATTGAAAAGGTTGCCGATGAAGAGACGAATAGGGTTAAGGGCAGGGAAAGGGCTCGGAATTTCTAGGGCTCCTCTGATTGGACCATACTCTAGGGACTTCTGCACAGTCCATTTCATTGTGTTCCTTCTAACTGGCTTTCACTGGGATGCAGTGGCGGTTTTGGTGGATAGAGGCTGGGGAAACAAGAGAGTTTGTATTTCCTGACCACATCCCCTGAAAAATGACTCTAGCGAATGGTTGTAAATGGCCACAGAGAGGCTGAGAAGGGGAAGAATCTGGGGTTTGGAGGGTGCTAGTTATTCCCACCTTCTTCCCTTTGAAGCTCTGAGGAGGACTCAGGCAGGGCTCCCACACAGCCGTGGACTAGATAGATGGTGTAGTCTGGAGCGGAGGCCATGCTGTGGTTTGAGTTAACTCTCTCCTGCAGGTTCATCTGTCTGAAGAGTTGGTTCCCAGGTGGTCGCTCATCTTGAGAGATTGAGAGACCCTTGGACTTGGGGCCTATTACAGACGTGAGGTACAGGAGTAGGCCTCATAGCTTCCTCAGCCACACCATGGATGCTCTGCTTCCTGGATGGCACCCTGGAGCAGGCATCTGTCTCATCTCCTATAGCCATGAGGCCACCCATAGTCACACCCTCCTCTGAGATGGATTATCACCACACAAGTCATGAACCCAAATAAATCCTTTCTTCTAGAAGCTGTCAAGGGCCGGTTAGAGTGATGAAGAGCTAACTAATGCAGAAAGCTGTTGCTGTCATAAAACATGGCACTTGGGAGGCAGAGGCAGGTGGACCTCTGAGTTTGAGGCCAGCGTGGTCTACAGAGCGAGTTCCAGAACAGCCATTGCTGTTACACAGAGAAACCCTATCTTGAAAAACAGAAGCAAAACAAAGCAAAAAAAACCCAAAAAAACTGATCCTATTTTTTTTTTTTTTTTTTAGTCTTTGGGAGGAATGTGTGGAGGAATTTAGAATTGTGGGCCAGACAGGCCCTAACACTGTAGTCAGAGCTTCCTGGGACATTCTGATAGGTGTTCAGGAGACCATACTATTGCTAGAAAGATGGACACGGTTTGGATTCCTGAGGATGCAGAGGGGAAGAACTGGCTGGAAGTAGCAGTGCATGCCTGTGATCCAAGTTCTTGGAAGGTGGAGGCACCAGGATTGGGAGTTCAAGGACATCTTTGGCTACATAGCAAGTTGGCCAGCTTGAACTACACAATGAAATGTCAAAAAAGAGACAAAAGAGAACAATGAAAAACAAGGAAAAACAAACAAAACCAAATACACCTAAAAATAAAGCTGGACTGTAACGGACACTGGGCTAGATGCCATTTATGTTACATTCAGATAAAGAAACTGGTTGTGTGTTGTGTCCTAACAATTTGAGTGCTGTTGCGTTCAGAAGCAATGGACTGATTTGTTCTGTGGAGAACATTGCCAGACAACACAGCATTCAGGTTGCCATGTGGTTTAGCTAGGGTTCTGGTGAGAATTCTGAGCTATTAGACAGTGGAGAGAAAAAATGGGGAAGATGAAGAGTTTGCTGTGCACAGGGCCACGAGTCAAGGTGAAGCTGCAGGAAGGGCAGATAAGGGTTCTGCAGAGAAAGCAGCTACAGCTGCACAGACAGGAACGCAACTAAGGACCGACTGTGCAGCTTGCTTTGGGACGGTGGGATTGGCGCAGTAAAGGTGAGATCTTACCCACTGAAGGCCTCAGGGCATAAAGCTGAAAACCTAGCTGAAAGCCCTCATTTGAAGAGTGTCTCCGCCTGGGGGTTTCTTGCTTGAAAATGGCTGCCCAGGGAAACTTCCCCTGATGAAGTCACATAGGCCCTTGGATACTGCGGCCGCAGTCCAAGTGGGTCAGGCTACATTTCAAGTTGGCAGTAAGAATTGGTGTTATTTTCCATGTAGTACTGGTTTGGCAGGCAAACAAAACTCCAGACTCATGGGCTGATGGAAGTTTACACCAAGGTTACCCAAAGTTGCTGAGGTCTGGCAATCTGTAGCAATGCTACATTCTCAGCAGGGAGTCCTTGCGTGAGAGCTCTGTGCATGAAGTTTCAAGGGAGATCCCAGGATGCAGGAGGTGGCAGAAATTTGGACTTTTAAGCAGGCACTGAAAAGGCCCAGGCCAAGAGAGAGCACACATGCTGCAGGATGCAGGGCTGGAGGGACAGGACTGTACAGAAGCGATGGAGCCCGGGAGATGCTGTCTCGGCCCAGATGCTGGGCGTGGAGCTGTTGCACAGCATTCTGGTTGTCACGGGGTTATTGATCACTGCCTTTAGCTAGGTTTCCAGTCAGAATTCTGAGCTATCAGATAGTGGAGAGAAAAAATGTGGAAGATGAACATTTGACATGCACAGGACCGTGAGTCAAGGTGAAGCTGCAGAAAGGGCAGATAGGGGTTTTGCAGATAAACTTTGAGGTCTGTTTGAATTCTGGTCTTTCTTTAGTCTGCTATTCTTTTGATATTTTCCATTCCTTTGTTTTAGAATGGATATGTTCGTATCACTGTACACTGGAAGTATGTAGTGGGAGGGAACTGGGAGGAGGGGAGGAGGGGGAAAGTTGATATTTGGTTTTCCATGGGCTCTTAGTTAAGGGTTTGTTTTGAGTCTCAGAAGAGACTTTGGACTTCTGAACAGAGTTGGAACTCTAAGAGCACAGGGACTTTTTGGTCTTTATTTACTTTTTATTTCTTGTGATGCATATATATAGCATATATTTAATATATTATCTAAACTTATATAATATATAATACGTGTATATATTTAATACATTTGTGTGTGTGTGTGTGCATCCATATGAAGCCAGAGGTTAAGTAGGAATGTTTTCTTTAATCCCTGTCTAACTTACTGCCTGAGGCAGGGTCTCCTCTGAACCCAGAGCTCATTAATTGGCTACACTGACCAACAAGCCGTGACAATCCTCCTGTCTCCTGCCCCACAGCACCAGGGTTACATGTATGTGTTGCCATGCCCAACTATTTATATGACTTCTCACCACTCAAACTCAGGTTCATATTGTTTGAGCAGCAGTTACTTTCTGGACTGAGCCATCCCCCAGCAACTCCGGGTTTTTTTTTAAAGTTGTCCTGAATACGTGAATGCATCCTGTGTTATGGGACGACCATCCAGCTAGGCACAGGATGTTATTGTTTGGATGGGAACTGCGCTCCACAGGCTCATGTGTTTACAAACTTGGTCCACAGCAGGTGGTGCTGTTTCAGGAAAGTAAGAAATCTTTAGAAGGTGGGACTTAGCTAGAGGAAGTGGGTCACTGGGAGGTAGGCCTTAAGGAGTTGCAGCCTTGCTCAGCGTCTGGTTGACTTCTTTGCTTTCTGGCTGATGACATGACGTGCCTAAGGGTCCTTCTACCCCCACATGGAGCTGCTCATGCATCCGAGCTTTCCTCACGATGAGCTGTGTTATCTCGAGGAGTGAGTCAAACACACCCTTCCTCTCTTGAGTTTCTTCCTTTAGGAGTTTTCATCCTGGTGATGGGAAAAGTAACTAGGCCAATAAGATCTTTGTGTTTATGGGTGTTTTGCCTGTATATATGTCTCTGCTATGTGAGCATGCAGTGCTCAAAGAGGCCAGAAGAGGGCACCGGAACCCCTGGAAATGGAATTAAAGCTGTCTCATGGGTTCTAGAACCCTGGTGTCTCTGGAAGAACATCCAGTGCTCTCAACTGCTGAACCATCATCTTTCCACCCCCAAGATCATTATATATACCATGGACAGGTGTGTAGCCATTTCTTCAGAATTTAAACATCCCTCTAAAGCGCAGGCAGTAAACAAAACTTCCCTATCTCAGGAAGCTCCTAAAACAGGATTCAGAGGTGTCTCCCCTAAAGTATAGAAGCAGAGAGGACTTCTGGGGAGAGGAGACTTGTTGATTTGCTGAGCTGCCTGCAGGCAGTGCAAGGTAACTAATTGTTATTGGTGCCTGAGGTGGGGGGGGGGGGGGATGGAGGTTTGGTAATGCAACTGCCTTTGAGTCATCCAAGCTCCAGCATGGAACCCCAACAAACTCATCAGTTCACTACAGATATTTGTCTCCCCAGGAAAGTCACCCAGCATGGTCCTTCTCCACACCTCACCATGGACAGACGCTGCCCAGCAGGACCCATGGGGGTGGTGGGCCCTTAGTGGAGGAAGGGAACACAGAAGCTTGGATGGGAGGGAGCAGCATCAGTGGTGAGGGGAGAACAGAGTCTTCTCATGCAGGTGGAGAGGGCAGTGGAGTGAGTCATCTTCCAAGAAGGGGGCTTTAAGCCGCTCCCTCTCCATCACTAGCAAGACCAAGACGGGAGCTTCTGCTAGCACTGGAGAGAGCTGATTCCGTAGAATGCAAATGAGGAGGTTTTCGGAAGGTTCAGGGGTTGTGTGTATCTGGAGGTGGGATAATACAGGAAGGGGAGAAGATTCTGGCAGTGAGGGACAGTGCTTGAGCCTCCATCCACCATCCATCAAACACTTCTCAAGCATGCTGGAGCACGCAGGAGACCCGGGAAATAGATATGGGGACGTACCTGGAGGAAATAACCTTTGAGCTGAGCTGGAAGGGTGATTAAGAGGCTTGTGATGGGGCTGGAGGGATGGCTTTGTGGTTGAGAGCACAGGTCCAGAGGACCCAGGTTAGATGGCTCACAAGAGTCTGTAACCCCAGTCCCTGGGGATCTGATATCATTTTCTGGTTTTCTTGGGCACCGTATGAATGTAGCACACAAACATACATTCAGATAAACACTCATCCACATAAAATAATAAATAAAATCCCCCCCCCCCCAAAAAAAAGAAGAGAAAAGAAATCAGAGGCTGGTGGGCGGCTCCACTGAAGGCTTTCCACGAGAGTACAGGGCATGGGCGCAGGTTTGGGGGCAAGAGAGAGTACGATATACCACAGCAAAGTTAGCGTGCCAAGGATAGCATGCCACGCCTTGGTATCCTAAAAGCGGTGAGAATTCGCCGAATGCTCTAATCTGGAGAGATTTGAACTTTTCAAGAGTCAACCCTGGAGGCAGAGCTGAGGAGGGTTGGAGTGAGGCCCAGGAGCAGGGGTGGGAGAGCATCTACAGCAGGACCAGATGATTTGAATGAGGCCTAAAGCAGTGTGGACAGGGACCAGGCATGCTTAGAAATAAGCAGGCTGACCAGACATCTGGTTTGCAGCCAGGGGAAGCGGAGGCTGGGAGGAAGCCAAGCGTCTGGTTTGGGCCACTGGGTGGATGGTAGTGCTCTTTGTGGCACACGGGAAGCCTGGTTCTTCCATCTGTCTGCCTCCAGGCTCCATTCTCCCCCCCCCCCCCCCCCGGAGATTCTGCACAGCTCCCCTTCTCTGGTCCCCATGGCAGGATGTTTCCTGTGGTCATTCCTTGGGGATTTGTAGCTCTTCGAGGCTCTGTTTTCCAACCCTGTCTTTATTTGCTGGTGTAATGACTGGTGGGCTTTCAGGCAGTGAGGAGAGGGAGGGCTCCCGTCCCTAGTACCCCCGCCCCCACCCCGGTGTCACGCAGCAGCACCTGACGTGGGTGAGATCCTTTGCGCGCAGAAATGAATAAGACCCAGTCTTTACTGGAAGGTGGGGGTGCTCACAAAGGTTGCTTTTTAGTTTATTTCAAATTCGGGCTACAGTATATTTGAAGTCAACAGGAAAAGGTGCCAGAAGTGGAGATACTGAGAAGACGGACTCCTGGACCCTAGTGTGGCCGACACTTGAGGCTAATTTGCTGGACAGAAGGAGCAGCAACTATTCTCAAGGCCTCTTGGCAACACTGGTGGCTGGAGCACACAGACACTTAACACTGCAAAATCTCCCGTCTTTAAGTTTTGTTTACTCCCTTATTTGTTGAGTGTGAAGATGTCCTGGAGCCCCAATTTTTATTTCTATAAAGTAGGGTGAGATGGTCTACCTTCCTGGGATTGTCTTATGAACTAGATGGGATAATCTATGGAAGAACTTGGCACACAGTAGGTCCTCCGCAGCCACAGGAATGCACACACTTCTTAGAAACGGCAATTAAGAATGCGAGGCGTGGCTTCTCCTGTAATGACCGTGCTGCAAGGGGAGAGCCACGGCTAAGATTTATAGAACAGATCGTGAACGACTTCACTCAGTTTGATAAGAAAAAGAACTTCAAAGTTTATTTTAGGGTGCTGGGGATACTAAAAGTGATCCTCGTGGCCAAGAGGTTTAGACTCTGAGGTGTGGTACCACTTACCCAACATTGCAGAGTGAGTCAGGGACAGCACCCAGACATGCCTGGGAAGCTGAGAGTGAGGTCATTTCTTTTTTCACTGAGCTGCCCCCCAAAAGCGGTGACTTGGGCAATGCTCAGGTTCTCATTTCTGACACCTCTGGCAGCCCCTAATCCTACCCCAGGCATTTGAAACAGGTTCCCGGTTTCGGGCTTCCACCTAGGCTTCTCAGCAGGGGCTGTCCAGGAAACCCCTTCTATGTGAAGCAGGTGTGGGCGTGGGAAGGCTCCTTGGAGATGAATCACCGCTGCCGCCTCCTTGGTGAATCACGCTCGGGGCTTGGGAACAGCTTGCTGGTGGACCTGAAGGAGAGCCGAGAGCTGCATTGCAATGATAAATCTCCACCACTAGAAGGCAGAAAAGGGACAGGCAAAACCGGAGCTGCCCAGGGCTGGCACTCAGAGCTTGGGAGGGGGTGGAAGGAATGTAAGGGCCAGTCAGTGCCTGGGATGCCCCACCGCCTGCTTCTGTCCTGGATACTCTGCTGGAGAATGTCAGAACAGATTGGGGCGGGGAGGGGGGAAGCTGGGGTGGGATGGGCTCATCCGCCCGGTGTTGTCTGTCCTGATGTTCTAAATGCAGATGCTCAAGGTCACACAGAAAGTCAGAAACAAGTCAGTCTGCTTTGGGAAGTTTCAGGAGCATAGCTATTGGATGGGGCACAGATGTGGCCTGCATCTCTGAGATGTGGACAGGTGTCCAAGTCCTGCTGCCTCTGTCCAGCCCCCTCTCTCATCTTGTCCCTGTCTCCCTGCTTCCTCTGTCACTATTATGCTCTCATTGATCCATTCCTCCAATCTTTTTTCTTCCTGACTCTTCCACCTGACTGTTTCTCTGCCCTCTTTGTCAGCCTCCATCCCTGTCCTCTGGGGACTTGGGTCCTTTTCTGGGTCCCCATGGCAGGATGTTTCCTGTGGTCACTCCTCAGGGATTTGTAGCTCTCAGAGGCTCTGTTTTCCAACTCTGTCTCATTGCCGCTCCTGGGACTCAGAGGAGACATTATTATTTACTAGCGTGTTCAGTGGTGTGCTTTCAGTCAGGGAGCAAAGAGAGTCCCCTGGCTCCTACCTACCCACCAGCCCCAGTGACCTCTGTTGCCAGTCAGCAGCCATAAACGCTGGGAGGCACCTGGTGTGGGCGAGATTCTGTGCTCATGCAGAAATGAATAGGACCCAGTATTCATCAGTGAGCTCACCACAAGGCCAGGGTGAGAGAGCGCCAGTGCACAGTGGATCTGTGTAAATAAGAGACGCTCAGGACAGAGGGAGGGCACCGGGAGTGCGGCATATGTGCCAGGACAGGTAGGAATGGAGTCTAGCTGGGTTAGAGGAGCCCTTTCAAGTGACCTTCAAAGGGTAGATGGGATCTCAGGAGAAGGAGACACACGCGGGGGTGTGGGCAAATTCTGAGCAGGGCCATCAGTGAAGCCAAGGGCCTTGGCTTCAGCACATGTTTGTACACTTGTTCAGAGAGCCACGACTGGCAGGGAGGCTGGAAAGCAGTGGGTGTTAGCGCGAAGGGTGTTTCCCTGTGCACTTAGCACGCAGGGTGCTCTACTGTGCACTTTACGGAAGAGACACCATGTAGTTTCTGAGTGGAGAGGGATTTAATGTGAATAAAGTGAAGTCACTGTGAGTGGCAGGAATTTGTTCCCTGTGGGCTCCTTCCTGGGGTGGAGAGTTTTTACCTCTACCTAAAGTTTTTACCTCTACTTAAGTAGGTTGTGAAGGGAAGGGAAGCATCATGAGGAGGGGGACACTCAGGTGCCTTGGAGAGGAGGGGGGACTCTGGGTGCCTTGCAAAGACAGAGAAGAGGACACTGGAGGAGCCAAGACCCACTTTATCTGTGCTCTGCATCTGGTTGCCACAGTGACCCTGAAGCAGAGACCTGAGGGTCTGATTCTGCTCACTCACAGGTTTCCGTGGGGTCACTATCCTCATCTCCCTCAGTGCTGCCTGGTGAGGGGCTCCACGCTGGCACTTGTGGCTTGGGGTTTCCGGCTGCTGCTCTGGCCTTGGGGAGCAGGGTGTGCCTCTGAGTCACCACCTGGGCATCTGGGCCTGGAACCATGTGAGTCACCCAGCACAGGGGGAGCAGAGAGAGGGTGCCTGATGTCTGCAGGGGAAGAGAACTGGGCCCACAGGAAGGGCGGTGCCCAAGTCGGGGGGGGGGGATAAAGAACAGAAGGGGGGCAGTCTTGAGGTCAGCTCTTTCCTGAAGACCCCTCCCTTGGGCCCAGTTGAAGGACACAGTGTCCTTCTCCATGGAGAAGACACAGTGGGGGTGGTGAGGGCCAAGGCTGGGTACAGGCCCCTGTTTTCAGCTTTGGGTGGAGGAGTCATTCCCACCCATTCACCTAAATAGGAAGAAGGAAGGAAGGAAGAAAGAAGAGGAGGTTCATGTCTCCCTTTTTTCCTCTTTTGCGTCTTACACAGACTGCTGCTCACTGAATCTGGGTCTGGTACAGAACCATTGCCCTTGCTCATTTTGAAGTAGTTTAAACAAACCCAGCCGCCTCCCTATCTCTTTAAGAGGGATTCTGGTGCCAGGCTTTCAAAACAAAACAAGCAACAACAAAAGATTTCTTAGACCTCCTGACATCCTCTAGATGTCTCCCGCTGCTCTTTTGAACCCCAGCTTTCTGGGGAGCCTGGAGAGCTTCTCTCTGTTTCTCTCTCTCTCTCTCTCTCTCTCTCTCTCTCTCTCTCTCTCTCACACACACACACACACACACACACTACATATCCACCCACCGTGTGTCCCCGCATCTTCTGACACAGGAGGAAACTGTGACTCACAGGCATAATATGAGAACCAGGCTTGGAATGAGTCTCTAGGCCCCAGGACAGAAGCTGCCTCCCCTCTTCCCTGACCAGGCTCCCCTTTCCCACAATGCCTTTGTTTCCATGTTGAGGCCCAGATGAGCTCAGGGATGCCCTTAGCTGGAACTGGAGGCTCCTCCAGTTGGTGCTGAAGCCAGTGTTTTCTGAGAGGGATGGGCCAAGAGGAAGTGTGTGGGGTGGCAGGAGGCCAGATTTTATCAAGATCAGGTTGGGACAGGTTCTGTTTCCCAAAAATGACAAATTGGAGGCCAGTAGGGTTCGCATATAAATCCCTACCCTGAGTGTCTTGGCCGCTGTATTCCCTCCTGGGTCTCTCCACCACCTGGTCTGGTGAGTACCTCTGTCCTGCACAGGACCTGGGTTTCGATCTTTGTTCCACTATCTCAATCCTTGTTCTTGTAGTTTTCTCTGACTTCCTAGTGGGACTTCCCATTTGAAGAGACCCTCTGTGAAGTTTTGGATGGAAGGACCTTCCCTAGAATCCCCTGCGAGGGTTTAGGTTACTCTGTGGCCTGTTCTCTCATCTCTGGGTCTGAGGTCTCTGTTTCTTAGTTTAGATATGTCTGTCTAGGGCCTCATTTTGGGGTTTAGGCCTAGGAGTAGGCCATGGATATGTGGGGGTAGAGGCGGATGTAACTGCCATGAAGCGTATCTGAAATCCCCCACTTAGGAGACTGAGGTAGGAAAGTCATGAGGTCAGGGTCTGACTGGGCTGTACAGTGAGATGTCATAAAAGCAGTCAATACTGGGATCTATTAGGAATAAGAAGCCAGAGACAGGGTCTCAGTGCTAGGCCCCGCCTGGGTCCCGTGCCCGTGTAGCGGCAGAGTCTTGCCCAAGGCTGCTTACTGTGCTGTTCTAAGCGGGTGAAGGTGGGGCTTGCGGAGGCAGGGAACTTTCCCTGCCTCCAGCACTGGCTCCTCTGGCTTACCCTGGAACCCACCCAATATTCTTAGAGGAATTTGGAAAAAGTGACCTCTGAACTCTGACCTCATCTCTTCAGCTTCTAGCCCGATCCTAAGACACTGGGCATTTAATATGTTTTAGTTCTAACCCCAACAGAATCCTTCTTGATGGGGAGAATGTTCAGTTGTCTCCATCCTGCTCCCTGTCTGCAAAGAACCAGCATGTGCGGCACAGCTCGCAGCCTGTCACACTAGGAGAGTCCTTGTCGGAAGGATGGCAGAGACTCTGACTTCAGGAGACTAGGGTCTGTGAAAGCTTTGACCCCTGCACGGGGCCTCATACTCTTGGACTGTTCCCATGGCTGCTGCCAAGCAATCCCGGGAGCCCATGGACACATTTATGCTCTACATTCCTGGCACAGACAGGAGTCAAATTGAGCTTCTAGACACCCTGCAGCCTCCTCCCATCCCCCTCTCTGCCTCCTGTAGACACTCGAGTAGGGAGGCCTCCCCGAAGAGGTGTGTCCCTAGAATACGAAATCCTGCTTTAGGTGGCTCCAGATCACAGGAGAGGTTTAATGTCTGAGTGCAGACTGAAGTGGCTGTGTGAACCCTGCACACTTCCAGAGCAGGATGCAGGCATCGCCTTGCCATTCCGAGAGGGTAAGCTTGGTGGAGCAGAAGCAGACCTTGTAGACTGGATTTGAGGCCCCAAGTTCCTCGATGGTGTTCTTTTGTGTCTCTAGATTCAAGATGTCCAGTCCACTGGAAGAGGCTCTGGCTGTGATGGTCTCCACCTTCCACAAGTACTCCGGTCAAGAGGGTGACAAGTTCAAACTCAGCAAGGGGGAGATGAAGGAGCTCTTGCATAAGGAACTGCCGAGCTTTGTGGGGGTAAGTGAGGCAGGCCAGGAGGGGAGGCGGGGAGCGGTAGGTGGACACACAGGGTAAATCTTTTCCCATTTTCATTCTCAAGGTGCCTCCTGGTGCTTGTGCCAGGGTGGGGCTGAGGATCTCCCCATCAGCTTCCACTCCCCGGTCCCTGGGGTGGCAGTTAGTCAATGTGTGAACGGACTTATCAATGGCTAGCCCCTTCACTATTCCTGAGCACACTGCTGTGGGGGGGCTTCAGAGTCCATTGGTAGAATTTTGTTATCTGCTAGTGGAATAGTCCCAAGCTCAGGGACGGGAGGCAGCTGGCCCAGGGTCGCACAGGGATATTACTAGGGCCTTAGTTTCTCCTTTTATTTTACACATTTGTATGGTAAGCCAAGAAAGCATGCAGAAAGAATGGATTCCAGCTAAGGCATGCACCCTGGGGCATTTGGCAGCGAGGTGCAGCTAGGTCTCACTTTGCTTCTTGTCTTGAACAGACTAACGGGTAATCCTAGAGACTCAGGTCTCAGGCCTTAATATGAGGCAGGGCTTACTTTTTTTTTTTTTCTCCATTTCGGGTTAATTCTCTCCCATTGTTTTGGCTGGTATTAAAAAGTTCATCTTTTCTGAATTCAGCCAGCTGAATTCAGGGCAGAAAGCTTTGATTTTTCTCATCATCAAGATGAAGCTGGGATCCAGCAGAGATTAGAGTTCATACCTAGTCTGAGGAACACCCAGCACCCAGCATCCCCCACTCCAGCAAGCATGCTGGAAACTTTTTTTGGGGGGGGGTTGGGTTTTTTCTTTTGGTTTTTCTAGAGGGGGTTTCTCTGTAGCTTTGGAGCCTGTCCTGGAACTAGCTCTTGTAGACCAGGCTGGCCTCGAACTCACAGAGATCCACCTGCCTCTGCCTCCTGAGTATTGGGATTAAAGGCATTGCCACCATCACTTGGCAATGCGGAGACTATTACATCATAGTCTATCTGTCCTTTCTCACTGGGCCTTCTTGGTACCTCATGGGCTCTCCTGCCACTGTGCACCTGGCTGCCCAGTGGGGAGGGGACGCTGGATACTAATGTAAAGGGGAGGTTTTGGCTGTGGGTCGGGCAGGAGCTGGGTGATAACTCCACTCCCTGCCACTTTCAGGAGAAGGTGGATGAGGAGGGACTAAAGAAGCTGATGGGCGACCTTGATGAGGACAGCGACCAGCAGGTGGACTTCCAGGAGTACGCCGTGTTTCTGGCCCTGGTCACCATCATGTGCAACGACTTTTTCCAGGGGTCCCCAGCCCGGCCCTGAAGCAGAGCGCTCCACACTCTGCTGTGTGTCTCCTGAGCCCATAGGGCTCTCTATTTTTTTTTTTAATTTTTGTACTAAATAAACTTTTGTTTGTTCATTTGTGGACAACATCGTGATGACTCAGTTACGCTCTGTGCCCTGGGTGGAACAGTTAAAGGGCTGGAGACAGAAAGTGCTCTGGTTTCCGACACCTTCTGCTCTCCAACTCTCCTGAGGTCAAAGGGTCTACTCTTTGGGAGTTCACAAAATGAGATTTTGGGAATTGGGGTATGCTGATAACATTTTATTTTGCTAAGAAAAGTATTTTAAAGGGCAGGTTGGGCATGGTAGCATAACCTTTAATCCCAGCACTCAGGAGGCAAGGCCAGGGGGCAGAGGCAGGGCAGAGGCAGAGGCAGGGACAGGGGGGAGAGGAGAGAGGCAGGGGCAGGGGGCAGAGTCAAGGGCATGGGCAGAGGCATGGGGCAGGGGCAGGGGACAGAAGCAGGGGCAGAGGCAGAGGCAGAGGCAGGGACATGGGCAGGGGCAGAGGCAAGGACAGTGGGCAGGGGCAGGCAGCAGAGGCAGCAGGTCTCCAGAGTTTGAGGCCAACCTGGTCTACATAGTAAGACCCTGCCTCAAAACAACAAAACAAAACAAAACACACACACACACACACACAAACCCCAAACCACAAAAAGACAAATACCACCTACAACTACAATCATTTCACCTCCTTCCCCAGTTTCAACAGAAAAGGGAGGATATAATCTCAGAACACAGCGCAGCCCTTAACATTTGGGACTAAAGGGTGAGTGGTCCCAAGAGTGGCTCAGGGAGCAGCGCTGGCCTAGCCAGCCCCGAGTTTAACTAAGGGCTCCTTGTCAGATCCCAGGCCTGGGGCCGGGTTCTCGTTTTCAGAAAGTTTCCTACCCACTTTCAAGTTGACTAGCTCAGTTCTGAGTTCACTCTCTCCCTGTTGAACTCTGCTAAAACCTCTTAGGAGCCCGCTCAAGGCAAGAATTCTTATGTTTTGCCATTTCCCCTAAAACTGTAACCTAAGCTGCTATATATCCTGCATCCTATGGCAATCAGGTGATAGTTGAGCACATGGTTCACCAGCTTTCCAGCCTATAAACACCAGGCCCTAGAGTTCACTCTTCCTTACCTCCGTCCAATTTTATCTTTTAATTTACTATTCTTGAAAGGTTTTGACAGCTACTGGATTTTGTACCAGTCATACAAGCATTCAGAAGTTACGCAAGGCCCGATCTGTGATGATTTAACTAAACTGGCACCTGAGCATTAGACGTCTTGATGGTCAGTTCAAGTTTGGTTCAGTGACTCAGATGGCCTCCTAACTACCTGTTGCTGTAGAATGAACCATTTTAAGACGTGCTAGGTGAAAACATACATTATATCTCTCATGGTTCTGTGGGTAGGCTGGAAATGGTTGTGGGGGTCTCAGGCAGTTGCAGGCTACCATCCCTCAAGGGGCTCGCTCAGCGTGCTTTGCACTTGGTGCTAGTTGTGTGGCTGAAGCTCACACAGAACCATCAGTGTGCTGCTAGATTTATGCCAATTTGGCACAAACCGTAGTCATCTGAGAGGAGGGAACCTTGACTGAGAAAAAGATCCGGCTGTGAGCAAGCCTATTTTCTTAGTGATTGGTGGGGAGGGCCAAACCCATTGCGGGCAGGGCCACTCCTGGGCTGGTAGTCTAGGGTTCTATAAGAAAGCAGGCTGAGCAAGTCGTGGGGAGGGAGGCAGTAAGCATGGCCTCTGCATCTGTTCCTGCCTCCAGGATCCAGCCCTGTTTGAGTTCCTGTCCTGACTTCAGTGCTGGACCACAGAGCACAAGTGTAAGCACCATAAACTCTTCCCCACGTGCAGTTTGTCATGGTGTTTGTCGCAGCAACAGAAAACCTAACCGAGACAATCAGCTTACTGGATCCCTTTCTTGACACTCTAGCAGGGTGTCAAGAAAGTGGGCTTCTCTCTTTTTATTACCATGAAAAGAGACCATTTGTTCCAGATGGGGCCTCTCCCGGCCCTAGGTGAGCAGAGAGGACAGAGCTGTCACATGGTCTCTCACCTGCTCCTTCCTCCTCTTCAGAACTCTGTCTGATCTACTCTGCAGGAGACTCCCACACATCAGAGTTTCCTGGGGAAGCAACAAAACAGCCAGGAGAGCATCGCTTTTGTGTTGTTATAATTATTATCCATCTCCTCTTTTCATTAAAAAAAGCCAAGGTGTCAGCATACCCAGCTAGGAGTAGCCATATTACTTTGCTGGGCCCCAAAAGATGTAGGCAAAGCCCTGTACACAGGGTCACGACTGCCGTGTTAACAAGGCAAAGGTTCTGGAGGACAAAGCTTTTCCGGTCTCATCTTCACTCACTCTGTCACCCACCTAGAGTATGGACACTGAGTCCTGGAGGCATAGCAGCCATGTTGTGACCAGGAATCACAAGCATAGTGTAGGGGATGGTGTGCTGTGGGTTTAAAGAAAAAACACAAGGAAAGGACATTTCCTGGGCCCTCAACCCAACCCCAAACTACCTACAGCAGACTTGTTATGTAAAGTGATTGAAGTCAGACAAGTTTTCTGCAATTTACTGCTGAGTAAACTACAGATTAGTAAAGGATGTGACATTGTTCATATTTCTCTGTGTGCGCACGTGTGCGCACGCGTGTGTGTGCAAGAGAGGCTATGCTATGGCATACGTGTGGAGATCAGACGGCAGCTCCTTCATGCGTGGTCCTCCTGAAGCTGAGTCAATCTTAATGATTTGTTGTTGAATGAAACGCAGCAGAAATGATGCCCTGGGAATTCTGAAATACATCTTAGGAACCTTTCAGCTTCCAATTGCAATGCTCATGTTAAGGATGTCAGAATGTGTTGAAAGCTAGGGGCCATGCTCTGAGAAGCCCAAGCTACGTGGGGAGACCACAAGTTGGATCTTTCTTCCCCGGGAAACTCTGATGTGTGTGGGCCACTTGCAGAATAGATCAGACAGAGTTCTGAAGAGGAGGAAGGAGCCGGTGAGAGGCCACGTGACAGCCACTCGCTCTCAGCGCTCTGCCCTCCCCACACACCTAGGGCTGGGAGGCAAGGCCAGGCAGGTCCCCTGGAAGAAATGTTCGCTTTCCATGACAATAAAAAGACAGAAGCCCACTTTCCTGACACCCTGTTGGAGAGGAATCTGGTAAATATGGGTCAGGGAGTCATGATGCCAGTAATTAACGTCCCAGGGCAGTTCTCAAAGCTCCTTACAGGCACACTGTCATTTCGGCCTCATGGTAACCCAAAAGGGGCTATTATTAAACCTTTTTACAGATGGGAAAGCGGAGGGGGCAACTCCGGCCATTTGTGTTTGGTCCACTCATGCTCCAGCCGTTTAATCCTGCCTGTGCCCGCACCTCGCAGATGAGGAAACAGAGACCGGGGATGTTAAGGGCTAGTGTCTGGCCTTGACCCATGTCTGTTAGAGAACTCCTCATCCCTCTGGGACCCTGGGCCGGCAGACTGGGCCTCTCTCCTCTTTCTGAAGCCATCTCCAGAGCTTTGGACTTTATGTGACCTGGAGGGGACCTGGCTGAATATGGTTCAGTTGTACCTGGCACATTGGCCCAAGTCGCAGGGAGATGGGGCCTCCTTGCATGGGGTTGGCTCTGTGAACTCTGATTTCTTTTGGTGCTACATAGAAGTGGGCTTCTCAGTTTTGGATTTGGACAGTCAGTTGGGCTAGCAAGACCAGACTTATCTTGCTGCCTCTGAGGTTTCCCCCAATCAGAGAGGCTAACCACTCCATTTGGTACTGGACAGAATAACTGACATCAAAAGGCTGAATGCAAACAAACAAGCTTCTCCATTCTTTGTGCTGAGGCGGAGGAGGGTCTGGACATCACTTTTTTTTTTAACAATTAAAAAAATTTTTTTTATGGTTTATTAACTTTGTTTTATGTGCATGGGTGTGAAGTGTCAGATCCCCTGCAACTGGATCTTCAGACAGTTGTGAGCTGCCATGTGGGTGCTGGGAATTGAACCCGGGTCCTCTGGAAGGGCAATCAGTGCTCTTAATCACTGAGCCATCTCTCCAGCCCCTGGACATCACTTGCTTGTCGAGGACCTGTGACCAGATCTCCCCATTCCCCCTGGAATTGCTGCTGGGATGAGAATTGTAGCAACCACACCTCCAGTCAGACCACCATTTTATGGTGTGGCTCAGAGAGCTCTCTAGTGCTCTGTGGAAAGGGAGACTGAGGCCAGCGTGAGTTAGTTACCAAATCTAAGATGATTGCTCACTCAGCCACTCAGAATGGAGCCTAGGGAACAAGTAAAAAGATCTATCTAATCCAGAAACCCAGAAAAATGGGAATACGGTAAATAGACATCCCCTTAACCCAGCAGTCAATGTCTTTCTACCTTAAACAAGGGGAAAGACGAGGGTCTTAGACTAGGGATGGCTCGAGACTTCCCTGTGCCTTTCCTGTGATCTGGAATAGGACATGGAGAAACAAGGTTGATACACGTGCGGTCGGTCACAAGGCAGTGACGTGGCTGTGATCTTGAAAACGTCTTAGTTACTCTTATCTCGGCATCTTTAGCCTTGACTGGGGAGGAGAGGGGCTGGGGTAAGTTGCTCCTGTCCTGGGAGTCCAGACAAACAATCTTTAAATGACTAATGTGTCTATGTGCAGAGTTCAGCAGGATCTGACCCGGAGGTTAAGGTAGCAAAGGAGACAAGCACAGACGGCAGAAGTTCCTAGAGTTTTCACCCTTATTTAGTTATTTGTGACAAGGCATTGCTGTGAAACCTAGGCTGGGCTCAGACTTTCAGCCATCATCCTGCCTCAGCCTTCTAGGAGTACAGACACACAGTGCCAAGTTTGACTTCATCTTGTTTTAGTTATCCATTGAATGTTCCTGTGGGCCAGAGTGCAGTGGATAAGGTAAAGTGGCTTTCAAGCCAGTGCTTGAAAAATACCATAGGTGATCTGTTTTGTTTTTGAGACAGGATTTCTCTGTGTATCCCTGGCTGTTCTGGAACTAGCTCTATAGACCAGGTCGGTCTCAAACTCACAGAGATCCGCCTGCCTCTGCCTCCTGAGTGCTGGGATTAAAGGCGTGTGCCACCACTGTCCAGCACCTAGGTGGCTTTTCTCATTTTAAATCAAACATCAGAGATGTCAGTTGAGCTAGGAGACTTGCTCAGCTTATCACCGCCAACGCTATTGATTTTCTGAGTCAACTAAGAGCAAGCAGAGATGGCTCCACACTTAAGAGCATCTACTGTTTGTGCCGGGGAACCGGGGTTGGTTCTCAGCCCCTACATAACACTCAGTTATGGGTTCTGGGTCAATGCAGTGAACTGGTACCCCACTCCATAGCTCCCATATGGGTCACCCGATCTCTCTACCAGCTCACTGTTCTTATCTGTGCAGTGGACACAACCAGCTATTGGTTTGGTAGTCAAAGCAAGCAGCAGATCTGACCTCTACTGGTTCTTCTTGGTCCCAGTTTAGATTCTCTTCCTATTCCCCAGCTCCAATTCCATAGCTTTGACTCTGGCTCCAGCTTTCTCCCTGGCCCAGTGCTGGTCCCAGTAACCAGATACCCCCTCCCATATGTTCTTCCTACTTGGCTCAGAAGATCAAAGAGGAGGTTGATTGTTTTGGTCAAGTTCATTTAACTTCACGGGGCTATTGGATTTGGGTGATTATTCTGGCCCTAGGGCTCAGGCCCCTTTGCCAGAAGTAAATAGAATTTCCAGATTCTTGGGAGCCTCTATTTTTTCCCTGGGGTGCAGGACCAGACACTGCCCTTTAGAGGGGTGGTTGTTTTCCAGGAATCTTAGGTGATGGCAGTGATAGCGAGGAGACAGAAAGGGAGCCAGGGAGAGTCAGGGCTTCAGCTTGTAAGAAGCTTTGCCAGATCGGCTAGCATCTGCTGTCACCCTTCACACACCATCTTGCTGAGCCTTTGAGGCAATGCTTCTCAGTCTCCAGCAGCAGCGAATTTCTCGCATTTCTCGGAGGTCAGCTCACCTGTCCTGGGGGAGCTATGTAAGGTGAGGAGTCCTGGTACAAGGTTCAGCCCAAGGGAGGGGATGGAGTGTGTGGACAGGAGAGAGTGGGAAGGAAGGAGGGTAATTCTAGTCCAGGCCCTGGAACTGGGGTCCACCGCTGAGCACTGGGGGTCACTACAGAAAAGGGGTTCCGGGTAGATGCTGGAAAACTTCCAGTAGGGCAGGGAGATTCCACGCACTTTAGGAAGGGGTTTTGGGAACCAAGGGAGGAGAATTTAGAGTCCTGACCTCCTTCTTTGTGGAGGCAGAAGCTGAGTAAGATGGTCTTGTGGGGAAAGACTGGTCCCTACTCCCTCCATCAAGGGAACTCAGGGTGTTTCTGTTGAGTTAGACTTGGGGGCCAGAGCTTTCGCATTGCCTCAGTAACAGCTAGTAACACAATGTGTTTCGAAATGTCCTTTTTTCCTCCCTCCTTCCCCTCTCCTCCCTCCCTCCCTTCCTCCCTTTTCCCCTCCTCTCCTTCCTTTTTTTTTTTTTTTTTTTTTTTTTTAAACAAGGTCTCACTGTGTAGCTGCGGCTGGCCTGAAACTTGCTGTGTAGACTAGGCTGGGCTTGGGCTCACCGACATCGGCTTGCCTCTGCCGTTCAAGCACTGGGATGAAAGACATATTCCACCATCTAAGCCAACACTTTGGATTCTCAGGGTAAGAACCTTCCAAACCCTCTTTGGAGGGAAAAAAAACCTAAATCTCTAACAAGGTGAAGGGCAAACATGTTGAAGTCAGCTGATGAGGAGGGGTGGGGTTTTGAGTGGAGGGGCGGGGTTTGAGTGAAGGCCCAATTAAGTGTTCTTTCCATGTTCGTCCATGTTCGTCCGCCAACCCCACATCTCCACCAAAACAAGTCTCTTGGCTTCTCCCAGCGCTCCCCACCCCCTCCTGTGGACAAGGATGCAGTGTTCCTAGGACCCGTGACTGTGCCCAGAAACATGAAGGGCTGTTGGATAAGAAAGGGGACTCAGAAGCTAGGCTGCGGGACTCTTCCTTCTTATTAAACATTCATTTGTTATTGTCTGTTTCTCGCACTAGGTTGTCATCTCCCTTGAGAGGTACTGTGCCTGTTTTGTTTATGTTATATCCCGGATGCCTCGTATCAGCGCTCTAATTACTTGTATGCACAGTGAACCTGCCACCCACTAGTAATATGACCTTGGGCCAGTCACTGCCTCTCTGCGTTAATATTTACCAAGCCCTTATGATATTTTAGTAACGTTTATTCCGTGAGCCTTGCTGTGCTGACTCAAACCCACAACAACCCTATGAGATGGTTAACTGTTTTTATTTCTATCAGTGAAGAAAACCAGATCCCAAGAGGAGAGGTGACACGCTTAAGGTGGCTGGTAGCAGGTGGGAATAAGTCATTGACCTAGAAGCAAATTAATTGCTGGTCCACTCTGTCCCCTCCTTCTGCTGCGGTGTGACCATCTCTGCCCTCTTCCCTAAACTCCTCATAACTTCTTGCCAATAAAACACGATTAATCACAGTTCTTCCTTCTATGCAATTGCTTACTCCCCTCACCTGCACGGCGGGCAACCTCCAGGAGGAGATGGTGGCCCAGCAAAGCTGGGTGCTGGGCCTAGGATGAGGTCAAGGGCTTACAGACTGGCCGTACAGGCATGAGGGCTTTGTCACCGGCTGGGAAGCCAGGCTCCTCTTCTCCTTCCCATACTCTTCTGGGTGCTGGATTTTCTCTCTGTGAAACAGGGAAGCTTAGGGGTTGGGAGAGAACAGAGAAGCAACAGGAGAGGATTTCCATGTCTGGGAAATGGCGGTCTCCGCCTGTGTCAGCTAAGAATGGCAGGAAATGCTGGACAGAGTTAAAATGATCTTTTTCAAAACATGAAAGGACTGAAAGGCATTAAGAAAAAACCTAGACCAGACATGGTGCCGCACGCCTTTAATCCCAGCACTCAGGAGGCACAGATCTCTGTGAGTTTGAGCTAGCCTGTTCTACATAGGATCTCTAGGATAGCCAGGGCTATGTAAAAAGACTCTGTCTCATAAAACAAAACAAAACAAAACAAAAAGCCCCTATTGTGTCTGGAGTTAATGTTAAGAGTACTTGCTGTTTGGCTGAGGACTCAGCTTTGGTCTCCAGCACCCACCCTCCACCCTCTTCTGATTTCCTTGGGAGAAGGCACGTGTTATATAGAGATATGGACACTCACACATAAAATAAAAATAAAGGTATCTTAAAAAAATAAAAATAATTTCAGGCTGGAGAGATAGCTTAGAGGAGCCCTGGCTGCTTTTCCAGAGGTTCTGAGTTCGATTTCCAGCACCCACATGGCAGGTCACAACTGTCTGTACCTCCAGTTTCGGAGGACTCATCACCCCCACACAGACATACATGAAGCTAAACAGGAATGTGCATAAAATAAATAAATTAATTAATTAAAAAAGTTTCAAAATTAAAAAAAAGAAGAAAGAAAAAGAAACCCCATCAGAATTCTAAGTGATGGCTGGAGAGACAGCTGAGCTACTAAGGGTGTGTGCTGTTTTTGTGGAGGACTAGAGCTTGTCCCCAGCACCCACATGAGGTGGCTCATGTGACCTGTGACCCCATCTTCATGGGACTCATTGCCTGTGACAATGTGGGCACCTGCACCTCATGTGCACAACACTCATGCACAGACACAGAAGTAAAAATAAAAATAAACCTTAAAAAAAAAAACAAGAAAACAAACGAACAAACCAAAGCCTCCTTGAAAAAAGCTTAAGTGATGTCAAAATCTGCGAAGTTGAGCACGGAACCCCGAGGGCTCTAGCCAAGACGATCTGGGGAGTCAGGAAGACACAAGTGAAGCCCAGGCTCACAGAGGAGGGGACACAAGTAGAGAGGTGATGCTGAACCCCAAGGGGCAATACTCTTTTTTGGGGGGATTCAAGACAGGGTTTCTCTATAGTCTGGGAGCCTGTCCTGAAACTCGCGCTGTAGGCCAGGCTGGTCTCGAACTCACAGAGATCCGCCTGCCTCTGCCTCCTGAGTGCTGGGATTAAAGGTGTGCGCCACCACCATCCATCCAAGGGTCAATACTCTTCAGCCAAAGAACAAATGAATGCTCTACCCCCAGAACTGCTGGGAAAACTGCCCCGGTGCTGCGCAGAGCACAGGCTAGAGAAGCAGCTTCCTCAGGAACTGGGGACACACCAGCTCCCATATGATTCTGTGGCCCACATTCGTCCACATCACCGGGAGTTGAGAGACAAGAAAGTCCAAGCCCTGCCAGCTGGAGGCTCCCTAGGAGGAGTACCCTTCCTCCTGGGTCTCAAAAATACCTCACAACAATTTCCTCCAGTGGAACAAGCAATTCACAGCCAAAGGCCACCGAACGTTCAGTGATCTGGAGGCTGGGCCCATGTCCTTAGATGTCTCACCTGTAAGTAGGGGCCTGAGCCAGGTGTTCTCAAGGTCTCCCTGTACAGGGACTCTGGCTGTCTGGCCTAAGAGAATCAGGTGTGTTCCCATTTTGTATTCTGGGTCTCTTGATGATCAAGAGCTCAGGAGAGGGATGTGTGTGGCTGGAAGATGCCACCAGGAAGCTGCTGCCAGTTCTCAGCTTTGGGGAAGGGCAGAGGGGGGATGAGCTGGGAGTGGTGTCTGAGACTCAGACTGGGCCTTTGATGTGTGCGTTGCTAGGTGGGCGGTGGGCCTGTAATAGAGGCTGCTGAGGGAAGAAGGCAGGAGACCCTGGGGGCAGCTTCAGGGCTGACCTACTTGGGTCCCTATAATTGCTCCCTTCATCTCTACAGGCTACAAATAGGGACACCCACTTGTTAGGCTCCCACAGCTGAAACGCCAGCAGCAGAGGTGAGTGTGGCTGCTCGGGACTGCCTTGGGATGGGTGTTGGAGTCTCTCATGAACCCCTCAACAGCTGCTCCGTTCCTGGATACAGGGCCTGGGAATGGGAGCAGAAAGGTTGCGTTAGCAGGTGTCGGGGTGAGGGAAGTCGGATATGGTGGACTCAGAGGTTCCCTTGAACACTAAGGGGCCAGTAGGAAGTTTGGCCTGGCCTGGGGATTGTGCCCAGCCACGGTTTCATGCTGATGTGGGGACAGTGGGCATCTACGGTTCTGGAGCAGCCCTTAGTGAGCACCTTGCGGCTTTGCTTCATTCTTGGGGATGAGTTGGGACAGGCCAGCGCTGCTGGTGAGGAGAGGATTCCTGTGAGTCTTCAAGCCCTAAGCTTCTGAAATAACAACTGAGGTGGCGCCAGGCAGGCCGGGGGAGTTCAGAAGGGCTCTGAGGTGCTGAGCTCCTGTGACCATGGCCCATTCCTCTCTTGGGAACGTGGTTCCTTGTTTCAGTCCTGGGCTGTCACAAAGAAGTAGACCCTAGCAATGCTTGCCACTTCAGCTCCCACCCCTCTACCTCCTTGGGGACAATTTGCTCCCCGCAGAGGGAACTCCCCAAGAAGTCTTGGCTCTGGCTGCCCTGTGTTGCAGGACTCCAGTCCCCTGGGGGAGTCAAGAATGAGTCATGGACTCACATGGAAACAGATCTATGGCTTTCCTGCCTGCCCAGGGTTTGCCTAGGCTGGATGGGCAGTGGAGGGTGACAACAGAAGTGGGGTGGGTGGGGGAGGGCTCTTCGGAAGCACTTTCTGTCCATCAGAGTGGGGAGGACTCTTCTCAAAGCCTTCTGTCTTAAGACCCCACCCCTGCCACGGGAAGGGAGGACGGCTAGAGGATAGGGCATATCATAGCTGATGGACTCGGCAGAGACCCATGGTCCACGTTTCTGACTAGGCCTGTAAGGCTGAATTCACCTACTTTAAAGGAAAAGACAATTGAGGCCCAGAGAGAAACAGTTCACCCAGGCCTGCAGAGTGAGCAGAGGATGAGGGTTCCCAGCTGCAGCTTCTTTGGGTCAGGGAAGGAGGCATAGCGAGGTGGTAGGGGATCCCCTTACGATCACATCCCTGCTGGCACTAGCCTCACCAGGGCAAAGAAACACTGGGCAGGGCTTCCTGAGCAAACTCTTACAGGACGGAACTCCAGGTCCCCAAGGGGCAGAGACTTCTAGGACCAGGGGCTGCATCACGTGGAATGTTGTCCAATGGGAGACAGTTTCCAGATGTTGGGGTGAGAAAGGACTGGAGGGAATCAGAGTCCTTAGGGAGACCCACAGTGAGGGGTGCAGGTGATGGGGTGGGATATTCAGCTCCTGAGGAACTTATGATAATGTTGGGGAAATGAAACTTCTGTCCAGAAAAACCACAACAGGCACAATGGGGAGGTGAATTGGTGTGTGTGCGCGTGTGTGCATGTGTGTGCGTGCGTGTGTGTACGTGTGGTGTGTGTGTGCATGTGCTTATATGCACACACGTGTGTGTATGTATGTGCGTGTGTGTGCATGTGTGCGCACGTGTGCACATGTGCGTGTATGTGTGTGTGTGTGTGTGTGTGTGTGTAAGTAGTTGTCAAGGAGGGCTGCTTCTAGGAAGGGGAACTTGAGCATGCTGGAGACTGACAGGTCTGGAATTAGCTCTCAGCAAACACTGAGGGAGAAGCCTGGCCTGGCTCTCCTTGTGAGTCACACCCTTTTTTGGTGACAGTGAGGATGACCCGGCCCCTGGAGCAGGCAGTAGCTGCCATTGTGTGCACCTTCCAGGAGTATGCTGGGCGCTGCGGGGACAAGCACAAGATCTGCCAGTCAGAGCTCAAGGAGCTGCTGCAGAAGGAGCTGCCCACTTGGACCCCGGTGAGCACCCTCAAACCTCTTCCCCCTAGTGGGAGGTACCACTGGGACTCTGCAAAGACCGGCCTGGGGTCAAACACCAACATAGGGCAGCAAGAGGGAGAGACCGGACTGTGGGGAGGGGACATAGGGAAGTGAGCTGACATAGCTGCACGAGCCTTAGCAAAATAGGATGTCACTCTTCCTGTGTTGGGATAATGCTCTCTGTGGCTAGGAGCAAGGGAGCTGAGAAGCAGGGCGAGGTTGGCCCCCAGGAGGGTGTGGGTTGGAGTAGGGAGGCCCATCCTTTGGAGGGGAGTGGTGTAGACTTTGCTTATGCTCCTCACTTCCTGATCATCCCTTCTCGTCTTGCACAGAGTGAGTTCCGGGAGTGTGACTACAATAAGTTCATGACCCTTCTGGATACCAACAAGGACTGTGAGGTGGACTTCAGCGAGTATGTGCGCTCGCTTGCCAGCCTCTGTCTCTACTGCCACGAGTACTTCAAAGACTGCCCCCCTGAGCCCCCCTGCCCCCAGTAGCCGCTGATCCTGGAAGGACAGGGTCTGCTCCATTGCTGTCCGTGATGTGCTAACCCTGGCTACTCAGGAGCTTTAGCAGTGTTCCTAGGGATGTCAAGGTAGCGAGGGTAGCCAGCCTGTGCTTCCCTTCATGGAAGGACAACATCTGTGCTCACACTTTGGAGGCTCAGTCATGTGCGCACAATTGGGACTGCTGTGGACGGGGCCTGCTCAGCTCCTAATAAAGAAATGTCAGCTTGGCTTGGTTTGGTTCTTCTGATGGGACACCTTGGACTTTGGGACCCGGGTCCTTGGGAATCTTTATTCCTCTATGTTTCTTATCACTGGAGGAAGGAGGCTGAAGGCAGGGGCCCCAAAGGCAGTGTCAGACCCCACAAGAATGCACAAGTCTCCGTGTTCAATAGGAGGGTGTGGCCGGGTGTGGCCGTTACAAGCTCCCATCAGCTGAGACTGGGGGGGGGGGTGTCATTGTCTCCATCTCTCTGTCCCCCGTCTTGAGGTGGAAGCTCTTGCCTTGGGCTTTTTAGGAGGGCAGGAGGCTCTCTGGGAGGAGGGTGTGGCTGTGGCTGTGGGTGTGGGGATAGGAGACCAGGGAGCAGCAGTAATAGGATTAGGACCTCCCAGCCAGGGAGAGAGGCTTTGTATTTATTGGACGGGGAGGGGATACTTTGAGTCAGTTCCCATCTCTAAAACCACAGTCCCTAGGGCCCCAAATCCCTGTTCTGACCCTCACTCAATCCCCATGTTTGTACCCATCCTTGGAGATTAATCCTGACTCCCCATTTTATCTAAGTTGCCTCTAACTCTCTTCTCCAAGTTGAGAGTTCAACCCTGAATGCTCCCATCACCCCTGACACCCACACTGGACCTTCTGCCCACCCGTGAGCTCACTGCTAACTCCATCACGACCCACTTCAGACCTGGGGTGGTCCCGAGGCCCCTCCTGACTTGCCAGTCTTCACTCTGGGTCTTACTGACCGTGACAGAGATGTTCAGGCTTGAGAGAAGGGCTGACTGGCTGGGGTCACCTCCTACCTCAGGGGCCACACATTTCCAGGGAAGTTTCCCACCTCTTGCCCATCACTTCTCCATCTCCTTTCCTGTGGCCCACATCCCTTGCCCAGGTTGCCCTGTCTCAAAGTTTCCTAAAACTTTGGCTGAGCTGAGGTTACTGGGTGGGATCAACACCATTCCAATCTATTGTGCCATGGGGGCTCTCTCACTGCTTGCCTGTGCCTGCTGCGGAGCAGGAAACTTGGCTCCCAGGCTGGGCTGTGGAGGGGGCTGTGACATTTACTACATCAACCAACAGCAGAAGCATGGTATCCGTGCTCCCCCCATCCCCTGCATGGGCAGGGCCTGCCTGGCTGTGTATAAATAGGGCAGACATTTGGGCTCTCCCCAAACCTCTCTGTTCATCACTTCCTCTCCCCGGGTCTGGTGAGTTGTGTTAGTCTGATAGCAGTGTTAGCCGGTGGCAGAGGCAGGGGCTGGGACAGGAGAAAGGGAGGCTTCTGGGGAGACAGATGTTTTAATAGATCCAGATGAGAGATTCTGATGTGGAGGCTCATGTGTGTGTGTGTGTTGCACAAGAATGAAAACAAAACAAAATAAACAGAGAGAGAGAGAGAGAGAGAGAGAGAGAGAGAGAGAGAGAGAATAGCTGGCATTTGAGCTCTCAGGAGTTTTTGAGCTGCCGAGGCTTACCTGTGTTGTTTCTACAGTGTCTGTTCATGTTTGGGAGATGTGATAGGTACCTTGACTGGTGTTTGCTGGGCCATTCAAGTCAGCGTGTGCAGGAAGCAGTGCAGGAAGCAAAGTAAAGGACCTGTTGGCTTTTTTTTCTTTCCGTTTAAATTACAGTTGTTTATTTGTGTTCATGTGTGCAAGGGTTGAGGATGGGGGCTCATGCCAAGGTGCACTTGTGGAAGTCAGAGAGCAACTGTGGGAGTCAGTCTGCTCTTTCTGCTGTGTGGGCTCTGGGCACCAAACTCAGCTCATCAAACTTGGTGCCAAGCACCTCTCCCCATTAAGCCACCTCTCCAGCACCCACCTGTAGGCTTTTATCTTCAGAGTATGTTTGTGTTCATATTAGTGCCCTATGGACTTATAGCACCCCAGGACAAGAAAACCTGCTTTCCCCCCTTCCCCCTGTGCCCTGCCTTTGCCACTTCAGCTCGCTCCTCCCTAAGCTGGTCACTAGGCAGCTGGTTTTTTCTGCTGTAGGTCCCTGGGCAGGCAGCCAGCAGCCGCGCCCAGTGTTGGAGGGAGAGAAGAATGGTCAGAGACTGGAGCTTGTGGTTGAGCTGAATGAGGGATGGAAACTGTTGTGTTGAGGCCAGGCCCGAGGGAGGCCCCAAAAGCTGATGGCACGAATCTTGAGAGCTTGTGCAGCAGTCTCTGCATGTTTTGGGGCCCAGAGCATACACGGCTATCTCTCCATCAGTGGGTCCCCTGGGAGTGAGGGCAGTCCCCTGAAGTGCTCTCAGAGGGTAGGACAGAATGAAACACTTAAAATGGGGGCAGAACACGTCTATAACCTGGGTGCGGTGCAGCGCCACCCCGTGCAGCGCCACATAGCCAGTTCTTGATACCCTGTTGGTGTGGGTCGGCCAAGGCTGCCTTTGTGTCTCCTGCCCCTAGGTCTCAGTTGGCATCATGGCATACCCCTTGGAACAGGCCCTGGACATGATGGTGTCTACCTTCCACAAATACTCGGGCAAAGAGGGGGATAAGTTCAAGCTTAACAAGTCCGAACTGAAGGAGCTTCTGACCAGGGAGCTGCCCAGCTTCCTGGGGGTGAGTGGGTCCTGTCCCCCAGGAGGAGGATGGGGCTCTCGTGGGTGCTAGTCTAGCTACAGCTGGTACATATCTCTAGGGTGGGGAGATGGAGGCCAGAGAGCTTGCTCTTTGTGCTTGGGGTAGAACCACAGCGAACCATCTCCCTCTCGCTAGTCCTTAGCTGAGAGGAGGCTTAGGATGAACACAATTGAAGAGGCAGTGGAAAACCAGAACCAGACCTAAGGCAGACAGCGTCTGAAGCCCAAGCCTAGATCAGGACTGTTGGCCACAGAAACTGAGATTCTGTGTGTGAGGAAGCAACTGTGGAGGCCACAAATACCTATAGGTCCTCCCCTCCTAACACCTTGTGTTAGCTGTTGCTAATGAGATAGTCAAAACAGGCATGGGGAAGGTGTGGTCCTACCCTTTCCCCGTGAATCCAAGAAGCATCCTCCTCTATATAGCTTAGCCCCAAAGCTGCCAAGGAGTTCCCGGAGGCTTTCTCGAGCTCCTCAGATATCTAGCTTGGGTTTGGCTTCTAACTGTGCCTCTTCTACCTCCAGAAAAGGACGGATGAAGCTGGATTCCAGAAGCTGATGAGCAACCTGGACAGCAACAGGGATAACGAGATAGACTTTCAGGAGTACTGCATCTTCCTCTCCTGCATTGCCATGATGTGCAATGAATTCTTTGAAGGCTGCCCAGATAAACAGCCCCGGAAGAAGTGAAAACTCCTCAGATGGAGTGTGGGGGTGTGGTCTGCCAGGGGGCCTCTTCCCTGGTGGCTCTGAGCATAGTGCCTTACTCTGGCTTCTTCTGCGCACAATGCTGAGCAAGTTTAATAAAGAGTTTTGAAACTATGAGCAGTTGCTGAAGAGACTGGAGATGGTGGGTTGGGGGCTGAGGGAGGGTACGTCACAGGGTGGTGGTGGGGACTCCTGGGAGTTGAGCTGAAGCTTGGTAGGAATAAAACTAGAAAAGGTTGGGGAGGGGTAGAGTGCCTGACTTCCCGTGCATGCAAGTGTGTGTGTCTATGTGTGTGTGCACATACGTACAACAAAGCAAACTCTGGGAACCCTGAAGGCAGAAGCCACCAGAGCCTTGGCTTGAAAGGCTCCAGATGTGGGAAGTTAGCCAGCCCACCACCCTCCTTCCTCTCTCCAGAACTGCCTCTGGGCTCAAACTGAAGTTGGGACGGGATTGAAGGTCACATCTGCTACTGGTTGGAGTCTGGAGGGAAGACAAGGGGCCTGAGTCACAAGGAGGGAGTCCCGAGGCCAGAGAATGACGGGGAAGTGGACTGGCACCCTTCCCTGACACTTAGAGTCCAGGTCCTGCCCTGTTACCCACTCCAGCTCATTGGTTTCAAAGAGTGGGTTGATCCTTCTCTGTCCATGACTGGATGAAGAAGGGCAGTATAGAGGGGCCATTTGTGGTAGTATAACATCCCCCCTCTCTCTCTGAGAAGAGGTCCTAGCCAGCTTCCCAAGTTCTGAGATTAGAGATGTATGCTACCATGGCTGATTGAAATAGTTGTTCTCTCACAAACTGGGCCTCTGCTCTAAAGGACTGTGGGACAAGAACTACTACTATTAAGAATCATGTTGCTTGGAGGAGGGCAAGGGAGAAGGAGTTGATGGGGAGGTGGCCATAGTTTTAGAGATGTTATTTTGGCCATATTATCTGATAAAGAAAACCGAAATCCCCGTCTCCTCACTCCCTCATGGCTAGAATATGAGGCAAATGTTGCTTCCCTTCAGAGTAGGCTTAGGCCAATGGCTTCAGAGTGCAGAGACTGGGGACTGAGATTAGATGCCAAGCCCTGGCCTGGGTGATATGGTGACACTTAGGGAGAGGTACCCACAAGCTGCCCCAAGGCTGACAGGTTTGCTTCTCAGCCTTCCCTGCTCATGACACGGTGCTTTCCTCTCCAGCCTCAGAGGACTGGGTAGGTGACTCAGATGTTCCCTTGGAGTTCGACCACAGAGACCTCGGTCCAGGCTAAGCCCGTCTTCACTTTTTCGCACCCCTAGTCAATCTGCTCATCTTCCATGGGACTGTGCTCCCCGGAGCTTCCTCCTGCATCACTCTCTACTTTTGGAAACTGCCGTTGCCTGGAGACAAGTCCCAGCTGTATCGCTAGTGTAGTAGCTGTGGTGGGAGGCAAAGGGGGCAGTGGGCGGACGTAGGCAGGCTAAAGTGGGATTTCAGCCGGCTGA